TCAGCATCCTGGGTACCCATCGTGCACAGATCTTCCAATAGCCAAGCAAAGCAATAATGTGACCCACACGTTCTTGTGAAATGCCGGCTATGCTTGAAATTTCTCTCTGAGTGATACGACAGTCGTCCTGAATCAATATGTCAACCTTTTGCTTGTGAAACTTGGTGGTTGCTGGCACAGGACATCCAACTCTTTGTTTGTCATGCAAGTCAGATGTTCCCACCTAGAATCATAGAATCATAGAGTTGGAAGAGACCTCATGGGCCATCCAGTCCAACCCCCTGCCAAGAAGCAGGAATATTGCATTAAAAGCACCCTTGACAGATGGCCATCCAGCCTCTGTTTAAAAGCCTCCAAAGAAGGAGCCTCCACCACACTCTGAGGCAGAGAGTTCCACTGCTGAACAGCTCTCACAGTCAGGAAGTTCTTCCAAATGTTCAGATGGAATCTCCTTTCTTGTAGTTTGAATCTCATCAACATCTTTCAACTTACTCGCCCAACGACAAACAATACTCACATCAACACAATTACCATAAACAGCTTGCATTCTCTGATTAATCTTCTTTGGGGTGACACCTTCTGCTGTCAAGAATTCAATGACTGCACGTTGCTTAAGTCGCATTGACCAACCGTCTGCGCAGGGTTCCATACTTCGCACTTTAACAACACAACTGTTCAATGCTAAGGCTTTCTGCCAAAATGGAACTGTAGAGGAGAGTCTACTGAACAAGCCAATACCTGCTGCATACCAGTCCTGCCATCTGTTGAGGAGTTACGAAGGTGGAGGCATTACTTTTCATTCAACCCTTCTATTAAGACAATGCTTGCAAGTTGCAGGGAAGCTCCAAACACCCAATGGATAAACATGAGAGAATTGCCATGCGTTATTGTCTCAGCTCTAGGGCTCCATCTGAGTTCTGGAGGAACTCTTTTTATCATCGGAGAATGGGGAAGCCTTTGCCCTCGTGCAGCCACAAAACTGGGAGATTACAAAACACTGCTAAACCCTCACATAATCACTCTTTTTGGCAAAAGCTCCAGAAATGTTTGCCTGGTCACAAGAACATTTATCCAATGGTTTGATCTGAAGAGAACAAGCACCAGTATGTCCTAGCTGTAATAGACTTATATTTCTCAACCATCAAAAGTGCAAACTGTTATTAAACAAAGAATTGCTTTATATTTTTGTCTTGCCTATCCCCCCTCCAATGCTGGGAGGCTCACTGTGAAAATGGACGATTTCATTACATTCAGTGCATGATATATGAAAACAATGTTGGGCTGCAGCTACATGATACCTTTTTTGTGCCATTTTTGGGAACCAAGAATATGAAGTTGCCACATATGTTTACATACCACTGATCCACTTGGCCTAGTGTTACCTTTTTGTACAGGTTAAGAACATTATGTTTTTCAAAACCTGAATTGCATTCCTATCTATAATCCATCAACAGGTCCAATGATTGCACCTAGGATTGTAAAAATGCAAACACATTGTCTGCAAAGTACTTATAAATGGTTGAGCATTTGGAAAACATAAATAGGATCAGTGGGACAAAAAAAGAAAATGGTCCTTGATGCTTTATTACAGTTTTACTGGGTCCCCATCCCGTCCCCTTTCTTCACTGACCAAACTTACACTTAGAAAAGTAACATGCAATTCAGATGCAGTGTAAGCATGACTTCAGAAAGATGAAAGCAATGGGACTGGTGAATTTGAATAAGAGTAGGCTAGACTCCCATAGGATGTTCTGAGAAAGGGCAGAGACAAAACTTAATATAGTAAAGGTTTCCCCTTGATATTAAGTCTAGTTGTGTCCGACTCTGGGGTTGATGCTCATCTCCATTTCTAAGCCGAAGAGCCGGCGTTTTCTGTAGACACCTCCAAGGCCATGTGGCCGGCATGACTGCATGAAGCGCCATTACTTTCCTGCCAAAGTGGTACCTATTGATCTACTTCCATGTTTTCGAACTGCTAAGTTGGCAGAAGCTGGGGCTAACGGTGGGAGCTCACCCCTCTCCCTGGATTTGAACTGCCGGCCTTTCAGTCAGCAAGTTCAGCAGCTCAGTGGTTTAACCCACTGCACCATCGGGGGCTCCAAACTTAATATAAGCACCCCTTTAATTGTTGTGATTGCCTACTATTCATTCTAAGAAAGACAAAGAAAAACTGAGGATACAACTGTGGTACTATGAGCAGAAACATGCCTCGGTGCTGCATTATAAAATTTTAAAAATATGTTGTGCATTACTTTCGGAATGATCCTTGTATATAAATTCTATAAATGCAATAGCCATGACCTCCTCCATAGAACTAGTTAGCTACAGCAGCATAAGCAACGTTTTAATATTCGAGTTGGTAAGGAAAATGGTTCGAACCATATTTGGATTGTTGTGAGTTTTCCAAGCTGTATGGGCATGTTCCAGAAGCATTCTCTCCTGAGGTTTCACCTGCATCTATGGCAGGCATCCTCAGAGGTTGTGAGGTCTGTTGGTCACAACCAGTGCAAACTCTAAGATCTTCCAGGGAGGCCCTCCTTTCACTCCCACCATCGTCACAAGCACAGTTGGTGGGGACGAGAGAAAGGGCCTTCTCAGTGGTGGCCCCCGCCTCTGGAATGCCCTCCCCAGGGAAATTAGACAGGCCCTATCCCTCCCCTCCTTTCGTAAGAGCTTGAAGAACTGGTGGTTTCAACAAGCCTTTGAGAATGACTAGTTCTAGCTCAGCCCTAGACATTGTTGAATATGACCTTATTCTTCCTACCAATTATCCAGGTCACTTCCTCTAATAGGCCTCAGAAATGAACAGCCATAGACCCATACCTATTATTGTTGTTGCCTTCTATAGCACTGCACTTAATTCCCGGCCCCCCTAAAAATTTTGAGCTTGCACTAATCTCGGCCCGGCCTTTTAAATTGCCAGGATTACTTTTAATATATGTGTTATGGCAACAATTTTTATGCTTATATTGTTTTGTTAATCTTATGTTTATGTTGTTTACTCTGTATGTATTGATGATGTTACTTGGAAACCGCTCCGAGTCCCCCCAGGGAGATAGAGCGGTATATAAATAAAGTTTTATTATTTATTATAAGTGGGCCTTATATATCTGTGGAATGTCCAGGGTGGGAGAAAGAACCCTTGACTGTTTGAGGCAGGTGTGAATCAAGGTGGCCATCTGTCAGGGGTGATTTGAATGCAATATTCCTGCTTCTTGGCAGGGGGTTGGACTGGATGGCCCATGAGGTCTCTTCCAACTCTTTGATTCTATGATCAATTGCAGTATTCACACCTGCCACCAACAGACAAGAATTATTTCTCCCACCCTGGACATTAGACCACAGGTAATGCAGCCAGACCTTGAAGCTGAAAGACTATTCAATGCTAATTAAGGTTGCCAATTGCAACATTCACACATACCTCAAGCAGGCAAGAGTTCCTTCTCCCACCCTGAACATTCCACAGATATATAGACTCCACTTGCCTAGTTTCCAACTGAGGATGCCTGTCACAGATGTGGGTGAAACGTCAGGAGAGAATGCTTCTGGAACATGGCCATACAGCCTAGAAAACTCAAAACAACCCAGTGATTCCAGCCATGAAAGTCTTTGACAATGCATCAAACCATATTTATTTATAAGCAGCTTGATTTAGCATGAATCTTAGGAGAACTGGCTATCCTCATCTTTCACTTATTTTGTCTGCTATGTAACAGTTATAAGGTAATAAAAATACTGTTGTATTGTTTTGGTGTAGGTTTTTTTGGGCTATATGGCCGTGTTCCAGAGGCATTCTCTCCTGACGTTTCGCCTGCATCTATGGCAAGCATCCTCAGAGGCAGTGAGGTCACCTCACAACCTCTGAGGATGCTTGCCATAGATGCAGGCGAAACGTCAGGAGAGAATGCCGTCTACAACATGGCCATACAGCCCGAAAAAACCTACACCAACGCAGTGATTCCGGTCATGAAAGCCTTCGACAATATACTGTTGTATTATTTAGAAAAATACCTACAATCAAGTTAAAGGACACCGGTAAATGATTTTGCCTTCTTAGTGTAAACTACTTGGACTAACTCTCAAACACTGGTTATTTTGAAAAGTGCGTTCTACATCAAAGTAAAAGTAAGCACAGAATAAACTCCCTTCCTGTCAAAGAGTGATTTTGCACTGCAGTTACGTCACAAAATAAGTTAATAGTTGGGTTGTTGTAGGTTTTTTTGGGCTATATGGCCATGGTCTAGAGGCATTTTCTCCTGACGTTTCGCCTGCATCTATGGCAAGCATCCTGCATCTATGGCAAGTATCCTCATTACCTCTGAGGATGCTTGCCATAGATGCAGGCGAAACGCCAGGAGAAAATGCCTTTAGACCATGGCCATATAGCCCAAAAAACCTACAACAACCCAGTGATTCCAGCCATGAAAGCCTTCGACAATACATTAAGTTAATTGTTATTTTATTATTTATTTAAAACATTTATATTCCGCCCTTCTCACCCCGAAGGGACTCARGGCGGACGGAGCACAACATACAAACGGCAAAYATTCAGTGCCGGAACATGAATTCATTATATGCATACATAAACATTAAAAACATTTGTCTCAACATTACAATACACTGTTTAAAACCATCTTGATCATCTACATCTAATCTAATTGGCCTGGTAAGGTTTCCTATCGCTGCTTTATTGCACTGTCCCAAAAGCTTGGGCTTTCCTTTTTCCTTACCCCTGTACTGAAAAGTCAAAGCATGTTTTGAGAAATCAAAACCTGAGATCAGAACAGGATTTAATAACAATTTCCATCGCAACCCGAACCCACCCTCTTTGTACGCAAACACAAATGCATGAAAAGCGCTTTTTTTGTCACGCCACAGAAAAACAAAACAACAATGTCATGCTCCCATTTAAATGCTTTTAATGGAAAATTGCATGTGGGTGAAATCCATTTATGAAAAAGACACGACAAAAAAATGAGATAGGAAGCTTCATAGCCCACCTTTCTTCTTGACTGGCATTCTTGCTGTAATTCCTGGCACGGGATACAAGAACTTATCTACCGGTATCAAAAGTGTCCCGCTGGGATTGCCTTGTGAGGTCAGTAGTTTGCCATCCAACTCAACACACTTATACAGTTTAGCTTTTAGAAACGGATCTCTATATCTCCATTTTCCACAGTCGCGCGCAGCTTGTTCCAGCTCAAAAACTTCCACTCATCGAACAGCAACAGGGAGGGGAGAAAAAGTTTGTAGAGTTGTCAAAATCTGTAAAATATTTCCCAAGCTATAAAAATATACCAGAGAAAACATCCATCAGCCTACAAAATCGTACAAGAATCCCTCGTTGACAGCCAAGGGGTTTGTTTTTGTTTTTGTTCGAAAATAGAAATTAGTTGAACGTAGGAAATACAATTAAGGCACAGTCCGAGTCTTGGCAGTCCAAATAATCCACTTCAACGCATTCTGGCACCGAGAAGCTTAGAGCCAAACAATCCAAACAAAATTTCAGAAGATGACAAACGCAGTTCCGAAGGAATTTTTTCTTTCCTTGTTGGAATCACAGGTGACTTGATATCAATTAGATACAACACTGGATGTACACAATGCTCTTCTGCGCCCAAGGTCCAGATTTCACTCGGCAATCCAAACAGCCGTCACTTGCATTTTTATTTCCTCCACCCAGCCTTCTGGCCTTTAATGTTCCTCTGATCCTCAGCTGTATTAAGCCCAAGAGGATTGAAAGCAATCCCCCGAATGGAATTATTAAAGTGACAGTGCTATTCGCAGGGCAGACTGGTGGAACAGACGCTTGTGCATCGGAGTCACTGACTTCTTGCCATCTTCGCTCAGCAGCAGCAGCTGCCTAATGAGAGAGGAGCAAAGTTCGTACAAAAGCTTCCCCAAATGTGATGCAAAGAGGCTGGGATATCAATGGAGAACAAAGGAGGCCATGAAGTCAGCCCAGAGATTCCTTGTTTATTGGCACAGCTGGTTGGCCTCACCACAACCTTGTATTTTCCCCGTTTTTCCTGCAAAGAAAAAGAAATGCATTAACAGTTTTCTTTTCGCTCTGGAACGTTGACAACAAAGCATCAATATGTTGTCGAAGGCTTTCATGGCCGGAATCACAGGGTTGCTGTGAGGTTTCCAAGATGTACGACCATGTTCCAGAAACATTCTTTCCTAACGTTTCACCTGAATCTATGGCAGGCATCTCAGAGGTTGTGAGGACTGCTGGAAACTAGGCAAGTGGGGTTTATATATCTGTGGAATGTCCAGGGTGGGAGAAAGAACTCTTATCTGCTTAAGGCAGGTGTGAATGTTGCAATCGGCCATTGTCATTAGCATTTAATGGCCTTGCAGCTTCAAAGCCTGGCTGATTGCTGCCTGGGGGAATCCTTTGTTGGGAGGTGGCCTTGATTGATTCATGTTTGGAATTCCTCTTTTTTCTGGATGGGGTATTTTATTTACTGTCCTAATTTTAAAGGGTTTTTTAAAATGCTGGCACATTTTGTTCATTTTCATGGTTTTCTCCTTTCTGTTGTGGATTTCATTGATATCTACAAGCATGTGAACAATTTCAACAAAATGGAGGAAACCATGAAAACGAACAAAATTTAGCTATTGGTATTTTAAAAAACCCTAAAATTAGGACAGTAAATAAAGAGCAACACTTAAAAAACAGGGGAATTCCAGACATGAATCAATCAGGGCCAGCTAACACCTCGCAACAAAGGATTCCCCAGGAAGGAAGCAGCCATACCTTGAAGCTGTGAGGCCATTCATTGTAATCAAGGTAGCTGATTGCAACATTTACACTTGCTTCAGGCAGACAAGAGTTATTTCTTCCACCTTGGATATTCCACAGATATATAAACCTCACTTGCCTAGTTTCCAACAGACCTCTCAACCTCTGAGGATGTCTGCCATAGATGTGGGCAAAACGTCAGGAGATAATGCTTCTGGAACATGGCCATACAGCCCAGAAACCTCACAGCAACCCAAAGGATCAAAGTGCAATTTAGTCTGCAAATGTTTCCCTTTAGACACATAAAGCTACAACAGAAGTCACAAACAAACCTGCATTGCAATTATCTTCTTTAAAGGGTAAACATTTTGTTCAGGAAGGCAATACAGATTCTGGTGGAAAGCAGACACAAACCTATATTTCTGCTTTGATGTAAACATATTTCTGTCTCCCCATAAAGAAGTAATATTGCCACAACTTGGGGTTTTTATTGTTTCTGCATAAAGGCATAATGCACCTTCTTTAGGGTGAAGCAGAACAGAACCTAAAACTGTTTATATAAAGAATAAAGTTGCAGTGAAGGGCAATGAAGAACACAAACGTGGGCGGTTATCTTTAGATGCACCTGTTAAGCAACGTAACAACACAAAGCAGCACAGAAACCCTGAAATATGGATTCTGCAGAAATAGCAGAAAGTATTTAAAAAACAAGAAGTCAGCAGGAGAGACAGAGCAAAAATACAGCACAGCAGGAGAAGAATTGGATCCAAAGATGGGGGATGTTTAAAGAGTCACAGCAATCCAACAAACACACATAGAAGGGTTTCTTAAAAGCCTGGCCTGAATGATGGAAATGCTAACAATTTGGGAAGAGGCAATTGAGAGTGATGGACTGGAGTTCTTGTCCACATAGAGGCATCAGTCAAGGAAAAAGCATAAGCTTAACCTTGATTCATGAAACAGAGAATAAATGCAATTTAATGACTGCAATAAATTGCACCAAAGTTTGTAAATAAATGAGGTGATGATTGAATAATAAATGCAGAATGGAGAGTGGAAGGTGAATTTGGAGATGGATGATGATTGGCTGGGACAGTGAAAAGAAAGAAAGTACCAATAGTGCAGGAGAAGGAGGTATGTGAGGAAACAAGACTCCAAAGAGAAACTACTGACCGTGGAAATTTGGGATGAGGAATTTGGGATGAGGAAAGATCTCAGATAAGGCAAGATAAAACTGAAGTGTGTAGACTGGCAATATCATACTAATAATACAGAATAACTTCACTCAGAATGTGCTATAAGTCGGAAAGATGTAAATAATTGGTTTCCAATAAAGTTATATTTGTTATTATTGGGTTGCTGTGAGTTTTCTGGGCTCTATGGTCATGCTCCAGAAGCATTCTCTCCTGATGTTTTGCCCACATCCTCAGAAGTTGTGAGGTCTGCTGGAAACTAGGAAAATGATGCACTTTTCTCTGTCCTTAATGAAGGCCTAACCCCACCGTTCCTCCTTCTTGGGCTCCTTCCTCACAACTACTCTTTTTCTACTCTTATCTCATCCAGGGTTTTATCATTTTATCTTGTACATCTGGCCCGCCCACTATGTTTGACTCTTATTATGTTATTTGCACTGTTTATTTTATCTTGCTACTTTATGTATTTTGTTGTGATGTAATTCTTTGTTGTTTTGTATTGTATTTCTGGGATTGGCCTTTGGGGAGATGGTGGCAGGGTACAAATAAAAATTATTATTATTGGGTTGGTGTAGGTTTTTTCTGTACTAGTAAGTAACTCTGTGCTGGACTGGGATAAAATCCCTAAATTTAAGTTCTGTGGGTTATGTTGTGTTGTGTGTCAAGGAGATAGCTGTGTGGCTTTTGTCAAAAAAAATTTAAAATTCTCAAAATCAGTAGATTTGCTAATCTTTCTGAAACTTGGGGGGGGGGGAAATGATCCGTTATCTTGTGTCGTTGTATAAAAAATTCAAGGAGATTGCTCTTGTAGGTTTTTTTTAATGTTGGGTTGTTGTAGGTTTTTTCGGGCTATATGGCCAGATTTCTGGAGGTATTATCTCCTGACGTTTCGCCTGCATCTATGGCAAGCATCCACAGAGGTAGTATCCTCACTACCTCTGAGGATGCTTGCCACAGATGCAGGCGAAATGTCAGGAGAGAATGCCTCTAGAACATGGCCACATAGCCTGAAAAAACCTACAACAACCCAGTGATTCCAGCCATGAAAGCCTTCGACAATACATTATTATTATTATTTGAAACAGAACAAGATGAGTCCACAGCAGACAAGATCACTCTGCTGGCTGTTGAATTGGATCACACGTCGGACACTTCCCAAGTGCCTAGGACTGTGTGATGTATCAGCGAATAATGTGTGCAGATCCCAGTAAGGTGGCCATTTGCAGCTGGCAGATGGTAATTTTGTCAGCGCCAATTGTGTTTAAGTGCAGGCCGAGGTCTTTAGGCACTGCACCCAGTGTGCCGATCACCACTGGGACCACCTTGACTGATTTGTGCCAGTCTTTGCAGTTCGATCTTTAAATCCTCATATCGTGTCAGCTTTTCCAGTTGTTTGTCTTCAATCCATTACTACTACTCTTATTATTATTATTATTATTATTATTATTATTATTCATTCTGCAGTGTAGATGCACCCTTCACTGTAACGTTTTGAGAAAGGATATTTTTATATCACAAAACTGAGCAAAGTTTGGAGATTTGGGGAAAAAATGGAGAAGACAAAGACAAAATGTATGTAATGCTGTGAGCTGGCAGGTTTGACGTGCACGCTATAAGGATGACTAAAAAGCTTGTGGGAAGAAATCATAAAATGCAATGTTAAAAGACAATCAATTGTGCTAGGTACATTTTAGGAAGTGCTATGAAGGCATGACAAAAGACACTGTCAAGATATAGGGATAGAGTGGGATTCTTTAGAACAGGAATGGGCAACCTTCCGCCCTCCATTGAACTTCAATTCCCTACCGGCTGTTAGGAATTGTGGGAGTTGAAGTCCAAAACACCTGGAGGGCTAAAGCTTGTCCATGCCTGCTTTAGAGTCACATGAGCCACATGTCTAGGATTGCATGAAGTGAGACTCTAATGCTCAAGCCATTATAGCCTGCTGATTCTACTCCCTCGATAGTGAATTCTCTCAATTTCCCTTCTGCTGCCATCTATAGACTTGAAGAAAGAGCTAGAGACAAAAAGCGGTGTCTTAATAAAGCAGGAGTTATGAGGAAGGAGTTATGGAAAGAAAGCAAAACAGGTTATGATATTGACTAGTCACGTCAGCAAGAGACTGAGAGTTCATCCAAGCTATAGAATTAGTGCAGTTTGACGCCACTTTACGGAATGATGCTGCAGAATCATGGTTTTGTTTTGGGTTTTTTTCATGTCAGGAGCAACTTGAGAAACTGCAAGTCACTTCTTGTGTGAGAGAACTGGCCGTCCGCAAGGACGTTGCCCAGGGGACGCCTGGATGTTTTACCATCCTATGGGAGGATTCTCTCATGTCATAGAATCATAGACTCAAAGAGTTGGAAGAGACCTCATGGGACATCCAGTCCAACCCCCTGCCAAGAAGCAGGAAAAACGAAATGCAAAGATACAGAATGGGGGATGCCTGGCTTGAGAGCAGTATGTGTGAAAAAGATCTTGGAGTCCTTGTGGACAACAAGTTAAACATGAGCCAACAATGTGATGTGGCGGCAAAAAAAGCCAATGGGAGTTTGGCCTGCATCAATAGGAGCATAGTGTCTAGATCTAGGGAAGTAATGCTACCCCTCTATTCCGCTTTGGTTAGACCACACCTGGAATATTGTGTCCAATTCTGGGCACCACAATTCAAGAGAGATATAGACAAGCTGGAATGTGTCCAGAGGAGGGCGACTAAAATGATCAAGGGTCTGGAGAACAAGCCCTATGAGAAGCGGCTTAAGGAGCTGGGCATGTTTAGCCTGAAGAAGAGAAGGCTGAGAGGAGATACGATAGCCATGTATAAATATGAGAGAGGAAGTCACAGGGAGGAGGGAGCATGGTTGTTTTCTGCTTCCTTGGAGACTACGACGTGGAACAATGGCTTCAAACTACAAGAGAGGAGATTCCATCTGAACGTGAGGAAGAACTTCCTGACTGTGAGAGCCGTTCAGCAGTGGAACTCTCTGCCCCTGAGTGTGGTGGAAGCTCCTTCTTTGGAAGCTTTTAAACAGGGGCTGGATGGCCATCTGTCAGGGGTGATTTGAATGCAATATTCCTGCTTCTTGGCAGGGGGTTGGACTGGA